ATTCCAGATGGGGACCAACATGGTCTACCCTCAGCGTACCCCCCATGATATAGCCGTTTGCTGAAGAACTATTGTTCCACAAACACTTTTTTTACACGACAAAACCAGGTCAACCATTTGTTTCATGGCTTTTGGAGGCCAGGGATGATGCTGCCCTCTCCAGGAGCAACTCCCTCGATCCAAGGCTCGGCTTGGCGAGCTGCCTGCCGCTGCCCGAGCGCTTTCGCTTGCGCCGCGTCAGCGCCACCGCGGAGCGTGTGGTGCGCTGGCAGCTGGCACAGCTGGCGTCGCTGGGTTTCGGACCACGTGGGAGTCGGGAGATACCTCCTGAACCATGGGTTTCGGCCATTGTCCGCATACCAACCACGTGGGTTTGAGGGTTCCAGGTACATCTCTGCAGCGGAGTAAGAGTGACCTTCTACAATCACCCAGCTCCTGGAGTTCCAACAGAGGTTGAAGAACCCTATATAGGTACTCCAGTATGGTCTTATAAGGGCACTTCACCTCTCTTGGTTTTGAATTCATCTCAACTACTCTACAGGACTTGGTCATACCTTTGGAGGCGCTACGAGTGGAGCTCTAGGTGACGGTTGCTATAGTATAGGCTATAGCTACATGTAGATTGTTTCCAGTGAGTCATCACGAATCAGCCTGAATATCCATGAAGCATTGGCGGCCTTCCTTCTGATTCAGAACAGCCAGTGACCTTGGTGACGAGCAGCGTTGGACACCTGTCTCCATGCACCGGAGTGGCGCCTAGGATGGATGCCGGCTCCTTCCGTGAACGCTGGGATGTCGACTTCTTCCAAGGTGCAAAAATCAGACCTTATTTTGGGGGTGAAAGCAGGTGAAGCTTCCATCGTTGTGCTTCATTAGGGTGATTTCATGTGATTTCTATTGTCCTGAACTGGATGAATCCCTGTACCTGGGAAGGATCCCCTTGCTTGTGAAGATTCTGTAATTGTTCCCGTCTTCCTGGCTCCAAAATCCAAGCGTCCAAACGACACCGCTGCTCGCCAGGCTTTTTGCCCGACCTCCAGCGAATCCTGCTCTTTGCGCTTTGTCACAGAAAAGGTCAGACCAAAACATCGCAGGATTGATAGCTGTGCAGGACAAGTGGATCACCTGCAGGTTTCGTTTTGGGAGAGATTAGGACACCCCAAATCAAATCCGACAGGTGGAAAAGGGGTTGTATATATATATATAATGATGATCAATATAGATATAGACATAATACCCGACCATGGAAACAGAGGGGGTCCAGAGAAAGCTGTGAAGACTTTGATTGGCACCGGCAGGCAGCTTTTGCCTGGAACTACATGGACCTGGACCTGACTTCAAGTACCCTAGAAAATGGGACATGACTGACATGACCCTGTACAGACGGGTGCTTGTAGCCATGTTCTGACTTTGAGAGACTCCAGGTAGTTTGAAGATGGACTTGTTCATACTTGTTCCATGAATAATGCTCACTCATCTATACCCGTGTGTTGTGGCTAAACGGCTGGTCTACAGCTATCACGTGGTTCTAGCAGACCCTTCATTTTGCACCAACTCCAAGTCCCACCATATCAAACTTGTGTTGATGTATTCAAGGTTGGGCCAATTGCACAACTCAGTCGGAAAACAGCAGCGCCACACAAGTTTGCCTCATGTCCTACTCAGTCACTCAGTCAGTTGCGGCAACCCTCCTTTTGGGGTGGGGATTGGGGCCCAAGTCAAATCCAACAGGCGGACAGTTTGGTTAAACTTAATTTTCCTAGGTCAATGGCTCGCCAATTTCGAGCAGGTGGAGGACTTTCAGGGAGTTAAGAGTAGGATAGAGTAGGTGGGTCAGTTCACCTGCAGTTTCCAGCTCAACTCTTAGCTTGCATTGACTCAGCTTCTGACTCTGCTCACTGAGGCACAGCTCACGGAGGACGCTGAGTCCACCCTGCCCAGCTGTACCAGCTTAGCGCCGTGGGTGTCCCTGACGCGCCGCTTCGCGCCCTTAGCGCTGCGTCCCAGCGCCCACGCGGTGGAGCTGCAGAGATCACTGGAGGAGATACCCACTGGTCGCTTTGACTTGAGCGTGAAACTCCATCCGTAACCATCCATGCAACTGGAACAAGTGTGCCCGCATTGGGGTGATGTTGAGGTCTGAAGAATCAACCAGAGCTTCTTCAGGACTCCTTCACACCATCCCAGGCCAGGGTACCCCTGGTGAACTCCGCGTCCAGTCCCGGTCACCGGCTACCATGGATGGTTTGGGCATGTTGCCACTCCACTTCGATGGAAGTCAAGGACGTCCCGCTTTCAGCTTCCCAAGTGAAGGACGTACACCGCAACCTACAGGAGAGGCCCACAAGTACATCACTCAACCCGAGTACTTTGTGGCATGCATGCGCTTTGTAAGGTGTCCAAAAGCCGCGCACACCTGCAAAAACATAGACATTTGAGCGCTGAATTCTGGATTCGCATGGAATCCAGACATTACTCCGAGTTGGTCCCATAACCGCACCGGCAAATCAGCTGTTTGGGTGGCTTCATCAATGCGCGGTGGCCTTTGGATCTCAGGTACGTTGCTTCAGTTGCAGGGGCGCCTCATGATGCTCTTCCGCACAGACACCGCTGCAGATGTAGCTAGTAGGCAAATGACTAGTATAGGTCCGGGGAGCCAGGTCGACCATCGGTCTGACGGCAACCGAAGCCGAAGCCCGGTTCCGGTTCCTTGTGTGGTCATAGACATATTTTGAAGATTGGAATTCTCAAGGGCAATTCACCCACTGACTGCATCTGACTGCTATTTGTGGTCTCTTGAGCTGAAACCACCAAGCAAATCAACCAATTGTTGGAATTCGCATGGGAACATGTGGTCCATTTCCGAACTTCCAACAGAGGTTGAAGAACCCGAACGTTCGACCATCCCATGTAGGTACCCCTGGTGAAATCCGGGTCCGGTCCCGGTCACTGGCTACCTCTCTTGGTCACCTCTTCAATCATCCCCCAAGCGACTCCGAGGATTTCCAACTGCTTCAACTCGCTGCTGCAAAAGGGCCCCCACGTTGAGGGTCTGTGGATCCTACGGCGGAGCGGAGCTGCTGCATCGTGGTCGTCGTCCGGCCGCGGAACGCTGGAGGATGCCAGCGCAGCGGTGCTGGAGAATTGGACTGCTAAAGGGGAAGAAGTGCGGAAGAGGATGGAAGAGGGAAGATTCCGGAAGATTCATGAAGGTGCATGTTCCAAGTGGCAAATTGTATTGTGATCAATGGACTTGACTGAATGCCTACTGATTAAAGCAGATTTCGGTGGTAAATGACATACTGAGTGTCAGTTATATGTTAATCAGGTGGATGATCTCAACCACTGCAAGACACCACGCTTATCAAAAACTGCCGAAGGTGATGGGCCATTCATCAGTCACACTGGGCTTCTGTGGAACGGGGTTTGCCATGTTCCAACTATAGCTGGTGCTTAGACATGCTTATCCCTAGGGCTCCAAGTACATCCTCAGAAGGTGTTTGGACCCTCCAAACCCACCCCAAACACCTTCTCAGAAGGTACTTGGAGCCCTAGGGCATAGACTTTGGAGTGGGTCTCCAAACGTGGAGCCGATGTCTGATTTGTTCGGGGTGGTCTCCACTTGTTGCTCTCTCCCGTGTTTGGTCCCCCCAACCGCCACAGCAGCTAAGCATGAGCACTTGGATCCCAGAATCTCAGGAGCGTTTCGGCGAGCCAAAGGCCACCATAAGCCTGCATGAGCATCAGCGCTTCCATGGTCGCTGCTTGGTGTTGGGGGGATTTCATGACATTTGGCACTTGCCAGTTTTGCTGATTTCCGAGTGGGAGAGGCTGCCTTTCTTCCGAGAGGTTTCCTGTTGATGGTTGGATGGATGAATGGGCAGATGGGCAGACAGACAGACAGACATAGATAGATAGATCGATCGATCGATCGATCGACAATATCTGAGGTGTCTATAGATAGCCTCTGGATGGGGCTAAGGGGTGTCCAAAAACCACCGGGCGAAAGGAAGGTCCTGGTATACAGAACGTCGTTTTCTTGGAGTTTGTGTTGTGATTTGGAAGCTCTTCGTTGCTATAAGAGCGCCAAAATGGCTTGTGGAAGGTTCCCTCCATGCTCTTTCCTGGTCGAACCTGTTGGAGACTGATTTGATTTTATCAGTCTTCCAAACGCTTTGCTTTGAGAGTACCGGTAGGGAGCGAGGCAGTTTGAGGGTGATGATTGGATGAGTACCCAAGTCAGCGGAGAACCTTTGGCGACACCCCACTCAAATCCAGCTGAAGCTTTATGTTCCGGGATCTCCAGCTTGGGAGTCAGAGTGTGATGCTTAGGAGTCAGTACCACCAGCCATGCCAGCCATGGGACCACCCTGCAACTGTCACATCAGGCTGCGCGCTCCCACGGCCAGAAGTGTCCTGGCGCTACCTCGTGGATGTCTTCGGTGGCTTGGTGGCTCTCAGTGGCCACACGGGTTCATCCTGGTTTCACCCGAGTTCGTGCTAGTTCGGCCAGCAAAGGAAGCAACATCAAAACAGCAGTTGCTGCGTGTTTGGCTAAGTAGTTTCTTCCATGCTCCTTTTGGAATCCGTTGGAGTAGGTCACGCTTCCGCAGCGGAGACCCTGTTTCTCGGCTTTGGTGAACCCAAACGCCATCCCATGGAGACCAGAGGGAGCCACCAGTCTCATACCTGGTTCTGCTTCTATTTAAGATTATTTTCGAGTACCCGCGCCACCCAGGCAGCGTCTCGGACGGTGAGGTGGCCGCGCTGTTGGTGGCGGCCGAGATCGAACACGTGCCCTTGCCGCGGCTTCTGGCGCAGGCGGCACGCCAGGCAGTGGCGCAGGGGCAGGCGTGAATTGAGGGTGGGGCTGGGGGTGAATGGGGAGGGGAAGGTGGATGGTTTGGGAGGATGCTTTTTGGACGGTATTTTTTTAAATCTGTTTTAGTTCGGGGGTTTTTCCAATTGCTTTCCGTTACGTACCTGTCTGATAAAATCAAAGACATAAGCATCCCAGGCTTATACCTCCCTTGAATGTTCATGGAAGTGGAAGACCACCAGGCTATGCCACTGATGCCAGTGCCATCCACTTCCATGCTTTTGTGAAGTGAGTTGTTTGGAGGATGAAAAGCCCATGAAAAAATAACACATCATTGAATTGGGTTATATACTCTTTATACCTGTTTTCTGGTTGAACGGAGGAAAATCAATACCCTACCTTTATGGTCTCAAAGGAGTTCATTGTGAATGTTGATGGGTCATTGTCAAATCCTCTCCGTCCTCCAGTTGAAGGAGGCCATGCTCCTTCGTTGGGCCATGGATGGAGCGGAGCCCGTTTGCGTGCGGGTGGCCATCTACGACGCAAGCGGCTTGAAGGCGCAACGCTGCCCAGGAGAAAGAGGTCCATCAAGAGTGTGGATTTACCTGGCTTTTCCTTTCTGAGGAGCTCTAGAGGGAGTGGTTTGCAGGCAGCCCTTTTTCTAGCAAATAGCGCGCCTCAGGTCGCCAAGACAGGTTCCAAGGCCTAGGGCCTAGAAGTAGTTGTCAGTCCAGTCCTGCCAACATGATGCTTTCTCATCCTTGTGGATTCCAAACGTGCATCAAAAGTGCATGTTTTTTTTCTAAACAGGCCACTGACCCTGGGAAGTCTGAGAAAAGAAGAAACCACTCTGCTGAACCACCACAGCCCGAGAGTATAGGCGAGTCGGTGACAGGTGTGGGTTTTTCAGTCCACCTGGTGGGTCGAACCCAAACACATATACCTGGAGTCGACCCGTTCGCACCTTGGAAAATGGGTACAGTCGTACCTGTTTTGATGGGGGTCATGTCCCATTTTCTAAGGATACTGGGTCAGTCGGGTCCAGGTAAACACAGGACCTTCCACTCGTGCGTGATCTCTTCAGGCTTGGTATATACGTGACCTGTTCAAAGACACTAGGGATCTCGGGCTCGGTCACTGGGAAGGTGGTGGTTGATGTAGACATCTCCCTGGACCGACTTCGTTTGCACCAGATTTGGGGACATGAACAACAAACAGGTACGGCTGAGGTAGGAACTGGCCGACTCATGTTATTATAGTACATCATATACCACTTTTGATCCACATACCTTCTCGGAAGGTATTTGAGCCCTCCAAGCCTCCATAAATAGTCTCCGAGCACCGTACCTGAGGTTTGGTATGTGGATCCATAGGGTATGGGGTTTGATGCATCAAGAGTCTACATGATCTGGGAGGTGAGGACTGGTTTCGGCGAGCGAACCTCGCGTGTCATGTCGAGGCCACGGTGGATGAAGTGTCCATTTCTTCCCACCATCGTTGGGCAGTGCCTCCCGCCGAGCCAGCAGCGCACGGATGATGGAAAAAGCCTCGACGCGGCCGTCAGGGGCTACTCTTGGGATATGCGGATTGGACGTGCTGGGGCTCCTGTCCCACCTCCTCAGAAGGGAGGGACTCATCCCAACTGGCACTTACCCCAACCACCTTCCAAACGGAGGGGGCGGCCAGGAGCCTTTCGGTCGACTTTCTCCCGCATGGCTCTCCCCTGACCTCAATCCCTCGGCCGGTCCTGAGGAATTGCTAAACATTGTGTCACTCAGGTGAGATGGCCAGCAAGTGGTGAGATGGGACCCCCTACCTGGCGCCATGCGGATTGTTGGGGTGATGTTGCTGATTTTCCCGAACTGGTTCAATCTAACCTGATGAACAAAGGTTCAATGTCGGCTTTCCGGGCCGGTCCTCAACTCTGAGCCTAGCGGATCCCGGGCAAACCACTGATTCTAAGGAACCAGGGGCCCTTCGTTCGGTGGAACTGAGTCGAACTGGAACCACTGGGACTCCCGAACCACGTGGGAACTGCCTGGATGTTCTGGGCGGATGCAGGTGCATAGCTCCTCGCCTCTTGGGATCCTCCCCACCTCTTGGGATCCTCCCCACCTCTTGGGATCAGCTCGAAGTTGGGGAACCTCACGTGACAGGTTCGCTCGTGACAGCTTCGCTGCTTCTCATCAGGGCCAGCGAAGCTGTTCGTTGGGGGTTTCATAAGGGTCGATACAGCAATAGGGGCAAACCCTTTTGAGCCAATCCATGGTACAGAAGATGAAGGATGACTTAGTTTTTGTGTTTGCTGCATGGTTGGGGAGCAGCTCGCAAAGCCAAGGCAAACGCTGACCTTAGAGCCAAAAGACATACTGTATATGTTACATGTTGGAAAAGGTGTGGCAAGTTGGTGCATCATGGCCATCCCTGTAAGTTGGGCGTGACTCAGCTCGTGAAGAAGCAAACCCAAGAAGTGGCCATTGAGATATCTTGATTGCTCATAAATCCCAGTGACGTGAGCCGCTCACGAGTTTTAAACCTTGTTGCTTGGGGGGAAAGGCCTTTGAAGGGAGCTGAAGTGAAGAAAGCTATCCAGAATTCGGACTTTCTATGAACCAGGACCTTCAAAGTGATCTTTTTGTTGAGTCTCTAAGTGACCCTTTGACCGGCCTGTTCATGACCTCGGATCTCAGCCTCGGTGGGATGGTCCTGGTCTCCGCCAGGCCATGTTCAGCCAGTCGATGTTCAGCTGCCGCGCCTGCGTGCCCCGCGACCGCGACGCGGACACCGTCCGCGTCACGGTCGCCGACATCGAAGCGCGGGAGGCCCGAGCAGCACCGGCAGGGCGTGTTTGGCTTCGCGAAGGAGCGAAGCGTGCACGTGTTTTGGCGCGCGCGCGCACCGCGGCAGGAAGAGTCGTGATGCTTTTGTTGGTTCCCTGAATTTGGAGCATGTGTTTAGTAGCTCTTGAGCCGGCTCTTGGGTTAGAGTGTTGTGTGTTTTTGCTTTCCGGCCTAAACTGTTGGCCATTTGGGAGATCCAGAAGCGATACGGTTGGTGAGCTCAGAAAGATTAAAAGAAAGAAAACGCAAAGAAAAGACCCGGAGTCGACCCGTGCGTACCTCGGATCTATTAACAATGCATACATGTGACCGCGACGTCGTACCTGTTTTTGTTGGGGTCATGTCCAGCAGAGGTTGAAGAACCCGAACGTTCGACTATCCTAATTGGGTACCCCTGGTGACAGGTCCTATTTACGGTCACTTGACCTCTGTTGGGTGGTCATGTGTCCAGGGTACCAGGGAGGGAGAGCTTACGCTTGGAGCCTTTTTGCACCACGCGCTGTCAGGTCATCGAGCGTTGGGACGCTGGTTTGGGACACCCGGTTTGGGGTGATGGGGCGCGCCCAGGGTGCTTTGGAAGGGATGTGTGGGGCAACGGAGGAGGTGATGGAAGGGAGATGGAAACCACCCAAAAGGAGTATGTGTGCGACGCTTTGGAGCACCAGCTGTGACGCCTCGTGATATGCCTGTTTGGGCTCCAAGTATATACCTTTCTCAGAAGGTGTGACTGGACCCTCCTGGCACCCACCCCAGTTCCACATTCTCAGAAGGTACCACTGGAGCACTAGGGATATATGGAAACCACCCGAAGCGTCGGAGGTGCGCGATGCTTTGGAGTACCAGCTGTGACGCCTTGCGTCAATGAGGTCAATGGCCTGTTCATAGGCGGTTTCAGATGGTTTCATACATGGTTATGTGTATAGGGTGTGTCCCATTTCCAGCAAGTTGAGTTGGTAATTAAACAAATACAGGTAGCATTCTTTTTGAGACCGGTCTGTGCAGTACCATCATCATCCAGTTGTTTCCATTCGGGGCCATGCCATCCACTTCCATGTGAGTTCCAGGGAGTCTAGATGTCATGATCGATTTCACTGGCTATGCTGAGTTTTACTACCAGCAGACTATTAAGCAACCATGTTGACCTTGTTGACCGTGAAGGTGGGGTTTCCCCGTTGATGAATCCTACGTCGAAGTTACCAGTACTTCATACTGATTAGCTACCTATGGATTTCACTCAGCTCCTTCACCTCCTCAGCTCCTTCCGCCCTCAGGTGAAGGTCGCTTCGTGGAGCTGCGCAGCGGCGACCGCCTGCTGGTGGGCGCCGAGACCCGCGACGCTGGGAACCGACCGGGTGGCGGGTGGCGGGTCTGAGCGGGTGGAGCGGGTGCTGAAGATGATGGTCTTGATCAGTGTAACACACCCATTTGACAATCCACATGGGGGGGGATTCTACATCCAGGCAAACCTACATCTACTCGATTTGCTAGAGTGAATCAAGATTCTAAAATTAGGACCCCGTCTTTTTTTGGGGGGGTGATGGTTGAGAAGTGCAAGGAGGTACTCCTAGAAGGCTTCAAGTAATTGAAAGGGCACTTTGCTTAAGGATGTTTAAGGCAGAGCTTGGTGGTTCTAACTACCTTCTGGATTTTGTAGAGTTTTGTTGGGTTGTTTTCTTCCGGTGAGGAGTCCTTTCTGGCTTCATTGCCCCCAGTGAGGAGCCCCAGGTGGTTGAGGGGAACATCAAAATTATGAGTTTCCGGTAGATGTTCCCTTAAACCAATTCGAGGAGACCTTCTCAAGGCTGTCCCTGTACAGCAGGTGTTCCGTTGCACTCCCAAAAACTAACATGGACCCTGAGAATGGCACCCTGGAAAACTTACAAACCAATGGTTTTCAGGTTTCATGTTAGTTTTCAACCGGGTAAACCAATTCTGGGACTGTGGGCAACATGTTGCTCACCTCCACCATGTCGTTGCGCTTCGAGCCTAGGAAATGGCTGACCAGTTGGTAGAAGCGTGGCGCGAGCGCCGCCAGCGAGACTCAGCAGAATTAGTTGGGTTTGGGGAGAAGTGAACCAAGTGGAGTAAGTCACCATCTACATAGCAGATGACCCTACATCCCTTCAACATTCCTACTCGATTCTACTTGGCTTCGAATCACTGGCTACTTGAGCCTTTTCATCCCCCACTTGGAAGTTTGTTCACTCTTTGAATCTACCGATGCACATCAGCTACCACATAGTCCAGTGGTATTTCTGAAAATTCTGAACATTTGTTCCATCTACTGTCAACCATAGGTATCATATGTAATAAGTTGTAAGTAGATTACAGCAGAAGTAGATGGACACTTTCTCCGATACACACACATATATATATATATATGTATCATATAGACGTGACACAACCTTTGCTTGCCCCAAACTCCAGCACATCGAGTCCCCCAGCCCTCCAGCCGGTCGGTCGAACCACCGGGCGCCACTGCTGAGGTCAACAGAACTCCGAGGAGGCCTTGGCTGAGGACGGGGCCCGGGGCATGCGTGGACCATGCCGTTCACGTCCGGAAAGGGTCGTTGTAGTGCATAGCTATGTGATTGTCCTACGCAGCCTTGCACTAGGCGTCTAGGGAAGAAGTGCTGCCGGTGATGCGGCTTCATACCACTTAAGAAGTATGTAAGCATAGTAAGTTTCGTGCTGCTTGGGAGCAAAGACACATCCCTGCTCCATGGATGTTACGTATATATTTATAGCTACTGCTTTTCCTTTGAACAGGCGCAAGGTGATGTTCATGTCTATTTACGTTGATCATCACCCCTCAGAGCAGCTAAGCTGTATTTCTGGGGGGTCACCCCAAGTTCGCGGCGATAGGAGAAGCTTCAAAAGGAGAAGGAAGCCCAAGAAGAGGAAGAGCGAAAGCGAGCCCCGGCTGCCGAGATTCTCATTCTTTAGGCGGCGAAAAGGATGGGAACGTGATGGAATGGATGGTAGGTGACCAGTGTGGTGCAAGAAGATGCCGGCAATGATGATCATGGATGGGGGAACCGGTGGCATTTCCAAAGAACAGTAGTACCCTCACTGTTCATTGCTGAGTATGGGTGGTGGATTTGCAAACAAAAGGGCATTGATGGCGTCATTGGAACCCGAAGTTAAACAGTTCATCTTCCCGATCATTCCCACATGTCTTCGGGGGCTGGAGAACCCAGGTACCATGCATGGGCTGCCATTTGATACCAGCTGGCTGGCTCACCCGACGAAGACATCACATTGGTGGCCGAATAGCTGGCTATTGTTGTTTGACCGATGTTGTTCCTTTGCCAAACCGGGCGGTGTCCACTTCCATGTGAGCGATTCGGAGTGCACCAAGTTGGAAGAACCATCTGGGAGAGGGAGGGAGAGAGTGCATGAGGAGAAACAGCAAAGTTAAGCATACCACCTAGTGGCCGCATGAGGCCGCTGGCCGGCGGTTCAGGTCAAGGCTGCTTTGATCAGATGTGGTTGCCAGCTGGCCAAGGCAAAGAAAAGGAAGCTGAGGAAGAGGAAGACTGAGTCATCGGCGGTGTATCCGGTCAAGGCTATCGTATAATTGGCAGAGGCTACTGGCTACCTGGTTCTTCAAAGGGACCGAACTTGATATCGCATTTTAAGGTCACTTGGGCCTGTAAAAGTTTTTACACTTTGAAGGAGCTGGTAGAGCATAGACTTGTCGGACTTGGCATTTCAGTCTTCCATCCGTGCGGCCGTGGGCATAGAAGAGCCTTCAGAGCCTTCTGAACATAGCAGAACACTGCTCATTTGTTGACTTTGTGCCCCAAGACCAACGCGCTCTCCTTTAAACCATGGTGCTGAGAAGGACTAACTCTATGATTCTGTATGATCCCTCGCCATAAATGATTGATGCCCATGCGTGGAATGCATGCGGATGCAAGATTGTTGCAGATCCTGGGTCCCAGCAAAAAAGCTAGTCATCAAAAGTGCTGTCCAACTAGCAAACCACTTGTAGAGGAAAATTGTCTTCCAGGGGGCCATTTCCCACTTCCATATTAGTTCCTTCTAGGGAGTGTACTTTGAACCGTTCTTTGGGGCATTGCACAGTATGACCATGCATGATTCCACCAGGAGCAGCGCCAGGCTGAACTGCAACGGCAGAAGGAAGAGGAGGTGCCATCACGGATGTTTCACTTGGGTAATGATGTGGCATTCTTTGATGTGCGAACCTATGCAGGCGTCATGATATGCCAAGGCACCAAGAATTGGGTTTAGATTGGTACTCCGATACTCCACTGTTCCGGGCACCAAGGCAAAAATCCCTTCGGCCGACCGTTCGCTGGGCTAGGAACGTGTGCGATTGGAAGCCAAAGTCCAGGCGTGGAGATTGGGGCGCCTGGGGTTTGTGACCTTGATTACCCGGTCAATGGATAACCTGCAAAAGCTTTTTGGGGTATTGCTAGGTTTCCCCACTCAATATGAACAGCCTTCTTGGGACTGGTTGGTTGCCAGACTGACCAAGCGGGCCGCCTGACCTAGCCCCTCAGCTGAGGCTCCTGGCCGGAAGTGTTGGAGAGTCGAACGAACGAGATGCCGTAGCGCTCCAAGTACCTTCTGAGAAGGTGTATGGGGTGGGGTTAGAGGATCCAAATACGTTCTGAGGAGGCACTTGGAGCCCTAGGGATGAGCATCTCAGATGGTGGGAGCTCCAAAAAGGCCATAGCAAACATAAGAAAACCGTCTAGGAGGCCACACCCGCGTAAAAGACACTTAAGAAGCCAAAGTGACACCATTCTGGACCACCAGAAGAGGAGGGTTCTAGATGTTCTAGAACCACCTGGCTGATTTTGGATATACGTTTGGAACTTAATTGAGTGATTGAACTTAATTGAGTGATGAGGTGTACCTTTTCGCACAGCATGTGCCCACCTTGGTGAAAGTAGGCTGAGGCGGTTGCTGAAGTTGATGCCAACAGCATGCAAGTGGCAAACCCTCAATGTATACTAGGTCGCTAGGCGACAACATGTTTGTCTCCATAAGCTAGCTGCTGGCCCAGAAGTCCAGAAGCAGCGACTTCGCTTAGCCGTGGTATAGGTATACCCAGTTCTTCCCCACAGAACAGGTATTACGGTATAGCCCGAACTCAGAGCGACCACGGGAGTACTTGTTCTGCAACTGGTTGATAGCGGATCCATTCTTGCCGGCGTCGTGCCGCCGATGTCGTGCGGCTTGCGGCTCGCCAGGAGCGCAAGCAGCGCGTGGAGGAGTTTTTGAAGAGCAACCAGTTTAAGGACATGAGTACTCCGAAGCGAGTGCAGGAGAGGCTTCGGTGATTGGAGGTGGCCTGGAGGAGTCAGGACGTTAGCGGCCGAACTGGGTTCCATTCTGGGGTAGAACTTCAAGATAGACCTTTCTTGCTTGGGCTGATCGCAAGTCGCGGGGTTTGCACCGGGTCAATGTAGATTCTTGGTGAAGTTCAAGAGTTCCACGTGGATATAAAATGATATAAAAACGGCTCATCAAACGCGGGGTAATCATCAGTGGTCCCAGGAGTCTGGATTCACATTTGGTTTTAACACCATCTTTCCGAACTGCTGTCGATTTGCACGTGAAAAACGCCCGGGCTGTTTGCGTGAATTACCTTCCTTTTCTCCAGAGTCCGGCGCTTGGGACTCAGAGGCGCTGCACATGGCTTGGCTCAGCTTGGCTCAGCTTGGGATTTGGTCGTACCTGACTCGCTACGCACGTCGGGAGCTTACGAACCGTCCGCGCGCGCCGTCGCCATCGCCGTTTCGATGTGTCGGCCAAACACGACACATGAGACGGGCATATTGACCTACATTCCCTAGAGCTCCTGGCCCACCTCCGTTTCGGGACCTGGTTGGGCTGGGTGCCAGGGGGGTCGAATACCACCGGTCACCTGAGGAGATGGGACAGGAGTGTCGGTCGCATGGGTCGTGTGGACAGAATCAGTGTGCCCAAATCAGCCCAAATCTTAATGCCTGCAAAAACTCACCTCCTTTCAGATGTCCTCCCTAGGGCTCCTGGCCCACCTCCTGAGAAGATGGGACAGGGGTGGGTGCCAGGGGGGTCTAACCACCGAACCTGAGGAGATGGGACAGGAGCCCTAGGGCCTAATCCTTTGCCAAAAACACTAACACCTCTTACCTTCGCCCCAGGAGAAGGTCCTGGGCTTGCCTTTGATCTCCAAGTCAATTTATCCCATCCATTTGGCCGCCGAGCTGGGGGATGCTGCCATGGTGGAGATGCTCTTGAAGGACGGTCGAGGGCGGCCGAAGAAGGCCGCGGGGAGGGGTCAAAACGGAGCGAAAGACCTAGTCTGTACAAGAGGTATTTGAAGGGAGTTGAAGGTAAGCTACTAGACGTGCCAAAAGGTATTTGAAGGGGCCCGGGTTTGTCTATACAAGTCTACTTGTTCGACATCCTTCGACCATTTGTGCCCTTTTGAGGAGGGCGCCAGCGCGAAGCAGAAGACCTCGACCGGGAAGACGCCGGCGGAGTTGGCCAAGAAGAAGTCCAAGGGATCCTCGGCCCATCATCCGAGCGCGCTCGGGCAATCCATTTATATAGTCGGCATATTTGGCGAACCAAGCCTTAGATACCTTTGGCGAACCAAGCCTTAGATACCCTAGGCCTCCAAGTGCCTTCTGAGGAGGTACTTGGAGGTGTAGGGATAAATCATATCAATCACCTGGGGAATTGAGCCGAAGAGTCTTGAGGGGGTATGCGCATCGGGGTGAAAGCTCCGTGGACCATCACGTGATGTTCTCGATGAACCTTGAAAGTACCCCCAACAGTTCACCCTTGGGATCCACGGCCGCCGTACCTCACAAGGTATGACTGGACCCTGCAAACCTACGTCATTCTACGTCCTACATCAAAATGCCTCCTTCCTCACCGTACCTCAGAGAGTATATGTGGATCCCATAGGGTCAGAACACCCAGACACCACGAGCCTTGAGCCTTGGGACGGGACTCTTTTGCACCACCTGGGGGCCTTGGTGCTGTGGTTGATGGAAGAACGGGGTTCGTTTGGAGGCAGGCAGTGTTCCAGTCCAGAGTCCAGAGCGTGTCGTTGCTGGACCGTCCGGGATGGATCAGGTTGACTGTTGATGTCCCGTTTGGGCTCCAGTCGTACCTTCTGAGAAGGTGGAGCTGGGGTGGGTTTGGAGGGGCCAAGTACCTTCTGAGCCCAAACTGGTGTTGATTCATAATCCATACTCAAATCACCGACTCATGTTGTCAGCGGCACCTGTGAACATCAGATACCCTTTTTTTCTGACCAAGATTGGGTGGGTGAGGTAGAGAAGTTCTGATCATCAACATAATCCTACACGTCAAAGACTTCATTTTGCTGGAGTTGCTGGTCTTTTGGGGTAAGGCTCAGGCAGGCATGCCTTCAGCCATCTTCTTCAGCCCTTGGACGGGGGTGGTTTGATCCGAATGAAAGACCCCCCCACGACAGAGGTTAAGTGACCTTATAGGACCCCTGCAGGGGGTACCTATAGGATAGTCTATAGGGTTGTTCAACCTCTGCTGGACTCTAAACTCTAATCAAGGAGGTGGAACGTGAGCTTTGGGAGGCTCATTTTCATCCATTTTTGATCATTTTTCACGCGTTTTTTTCCAAGAAGAAAAGGATGAAACTCCCAAGGAGTGGAGTGTTTGGGAGCTTTGGGATTCCTTCCCAGGAGTGCAAGGATGAAACTCCCTCCCACTAGCTCCAGCCACCTTGGCCACTCCAACGCGTCCTCACCAGGTGGATCACATGATGCTGTGCTGAAAGCCTTGGGTGAGCCTATCAAGCAGGCGCCGCGTGCCGTCCAGGTAGGAGGCGCCTAATTCAATGCACCCCCTGAGAAGGCGGTGAGGTTCAGGGCGACTCAGAGAAGGGGAGCGAGGTCAGCACCGAGTGAGTGTTAGCTGGTTTACATTGGATGATGGGGATGTTATGGATCAATTCCCCCTGGTCACCATGTTTCATGGTGTTTCTTTTGGAAAAACCATTCTGGTAGGTTCCCACACTTTGAAACCACCGCACTGGAAACGGGTTTTTATTGGAGATTCCCGGAAGTGAACTCATCATCACCGGATCCTGGCGGATTACACCCAGGATGCCGTACTAATTCTGGGCACCCCCAGAGGAGGAGTCTGGCCCTCACTGAGTTCCGCTTGAGCATTTGAGGTTGCAGTGAGGTTCCGGCGCTTTTGTGTGCCGTGATCAGCTTGGCCGTCTCCACAGTGAGTTATGAATCCCTTCAAGATTCGACTGGTATCCAGAAGAGAGGGCCAGAAATGGCCAGATGAAAAGGTTCGGTTCGTGCACGATTCATTGGCCAAGTGAAGGCACCAGCAATTCGTAATGCTTTCCATCTTTGCAATGATGGCATGCAGCATCGGTACGAAAAAGTTGGCACGTGTAAGTGTAGATTGCTTCAGAGCTGAGAGCGGCCTCTGGAAATCTATGGTGCCCTTTGCATCCCTTCACCTATATATAGATGGAACAAGTCTGAACAAGATGCACAAGCCTAATATAACTATAGTGACTATATATATATATATATAACTTAAAATACAACTATGTGTATATAACCTATATAACTAGTGACCACTCGCGATCATGGGAAGCTTGTTTTTGCCTTTGTAGCGAGGAACAAGGGCTTCTGAGAGAGTCCATATGTTTTCATGTATATACATGTGTGATCATATACACATGCCACATGCACTTACACATGTCAGACAAGACCGTTTGTACCACAGCTTTTGCTCGCTGCGACTTTGGCTTCACACGTGGCCGAGCATACGTTTTCTCGCGCAGAACAAGGAAGATGGACGGCGACAGAACCAGGAGTCTTTGGAGGAAGCCCTTAGGAAAAACAACAATAGTGGCTTTGAGAGAAATCATGGAGAGAAACGGTGGATGCCATACTTGTAATACAGATTTGCATCTCATCTCACAAAAGCAGGAACAACAAAGTGTACAAAGTACAGAGTCAACTGCCTGGAGCACATGCTACATGTTACATGCATCCTGGAATCCTTCGGCTATAACAAATTCATCATTTCGGTTTGCTTTCTTTGCAGAATTGGTTGGTGGCCGTGGCCGTGGCGCAAGGATTGGCGCCCTAGGTGGGAGGCTTGCCAGACCCACCCACCAATTCCGACCCCGGTTGGTTATATAGCTCTTTCTGTGCGTTCCAACTTAACCTGGCCCCCCCACCAAAAACCTACCCGGGAAAAGTGGATGACCTTGTGGAAAACGGTCAAAATATCTGAGGGGTCAGACCTTCTTCCCCCACCCCCAACAAAGATCAACCACAAGATTCCCCCAGTTTCCCAGTCCCTCCGGACCTAAAACCATCTAAAACCCCTTTCGCTCACTCCTGGAGCCAACCGGTGGGGGAAAGCAATGCAGAAACCAGATGCCATGGCCACCATGGGATCGCGTTGATGCTGCAGCCGGTTCCTCCATTTCCTGGCACTGGCGGACCTCAGCACCACAGCCGAGGCCAGTGGCAGGGACGCACGGAGCACGCACGGCACCTGGGTAGAGGGTTCGTTCGTTCGATGGCCGAAGTCGAGAGGTGTCGCTCTTGCGTGCGCATATTCTTAGTTCCCAAACACTCCATGTATGGCATATTTACCTACATTGACCCCTAAAACCACTCCAATGCAGGCATATATGGCATACATGGAGTGTTTGGGGTTTAATTTGTTCTTTCTGTGAAGAAGCACGGTGCAAGAAACAGGAGCGATGGCCGACATGATCCAAGTTGTCAGACATCTCGAAGACCTTTTGAAGAGGCTTTTGGTGGAGTATGATAGACTGTTCATCTAGTAAAACTAATCTCCAACACTCAGATCGTACCGGGGAATAGCCCTTGGGCCCACATACTACACATAACGTTCGGACTTTTTGTTAGGCCAGATTGCCTCAGGGGGAGTGTTCAGTTAGTTCCTTAATTCTCCTTACACACCACACCACACCCACGCCACTCCATGAGGGCCCAACCTGGCCAGGCCCAACGCACCTGGCGCCGCGCGCGGTCCGGTGGCGGGGACCCGCGCGATGGCCCGCCGCACGGCTCGGTGCGGCACGAAGTCCACAAGAAGGAACGTCCATGCGCAGCGAAGAGGCGGGGAGGAGGAGGAGGAAGGGTCCAGCATAGAAATCGTGATGCAGAGTTTTTCTTGTAGGTTTGAGGTTTTTAACAACTGTGCTTAAGATGTTTTAGGATGTTCAAGGGGAGGCCGGGGTGTTCACCTCAAAGCCTTGCTTGGATACGATAGAGTTTTTCTTCACTCTGTGCTCGCAACTGCTTCAACTGCACAAAAAACATCCGCATCCTTCGCTAAGCTGAAAACATCAAACGCTTCTCCTCCCGCCACGGCGGTGGATTTCTGCTTGTCGGAGTGGTTCCCGGGGGGTTCCCGACGACGGAGCGGCGTCCTCCGGTCACCGACCTCCGCCCCCGTCGCGTCTCAGGGACATCGGCCGCTGGGCGAAGATGAAGGGGAAGGCGGAAGGTTTGGCGGAAGGGTCAAGACACGCGTTGCATGGCTGGCAGTACTGGCATCATTGACAGATGGACAGTGGCCGGATGTCATATCTAGTCATCCTAGTTAGTCAGTGGCCTCTGGACATGATTTTTCTTCCTGAATTATACAGAGGAGTTTCCACTCTCAAGCCTCTTGAGTCGAGACGCCTCTTGGATGCTTTCCTTTCAGGTCACAGACGAGGCCCTAATTCGCTTGGGCTCCGTCCTTTTGGGCTGGCTGATGTCTCAAGCCTCCGCACTGCTGAGGCCATTGATTTTTGTGGACACCTGACTGCAGGAAGTCAGCGCGTGCTACTGCAGAGGAAACCCCCACCGGGCGTGTTTTGGGGAAATATGTTACAATCACAAAACCACGACATCATCACTTGGTTCAGTGACACGTGACCCGTTCCCAGAACAAATCGTCACATGGCCGGTGGTCCACAAGATGAATTGGTTTCGGACTCGCAGTGTGCGGGTCAGTCACCCGAAGATTCGTTGGCGTGGACCACCGCCATTCGGAAAAATCGTGAGATGACATGGTTCCCGCAGTGGTTCAGGGTTCCGTGTCGGGGTCTCAGTCCTGGGACCAAACACATCCACTCACGCACGTGTCGGGGTGTCACAAGACCTAACCCGCACCCCTTTGGAGCTCTTGGTCGTTCCTTTTTCCAGGGACAGTGGTGGATGTTTTTTGGGGCTCAGACCGCAGATGGGCTGATGGCCTTTGAGGATGTCAGCATCCTTCACAGACTGCAGATGCTAGGGCCATGTGCCAGGACCCTCAAAGTGACCTCTTTGGAGTCTCTAACTGGCCTTTAACAGGCCTAAGTGACCTCATCCTGGGATCTCAAAAGGTCACTTTGAAGGTCCTGGTGTATAGTATATATATATATATATATGTGATCATATATGGTTTTTGTTGAAGTGTGGACAAGCAGCAGCTGGTGATGTTGCCTAGTTTCAGCAAGTTCAACTTCGAAGTGGGAAGTTTAGGATTTGGCCATGTCGCAAAGAACCTTTGATGAGAGACGGCTCTGTCATGCTCGTCGTTTTCTGGGGAAGCAGCAGCCGCAGAATGTTTTGAAGCGCTATGAGCAGCGACTTCGTACAGGGCAGGTGGATGAGCTTCAAAAGAACGCGTTTCATGCGGCTGCTTGGGTTTCAGAGCTGCCAGCTGGTCAGATGTCTTTGCAATACGATGGCTTGTCAGCCATGTGTCTTTTGCACCAGTACTTGAGGTCCCTGAAGGAGATCAAGCCCTTGTGATCACTTGGTGAAGGTCCTGCATCTTGTCGCGGATCGACTAAACACACATCCAGATGTTGAAACACAGTGGCCCGGACTTCTAGGGGATCTTTGGACTTGCATTCCTGACGCCAAACCCGCGAAAGCGGCCAGGCTGATGAACAAGGCCATCGGCATTTGGAAAAACACGACCTGCGAGGCGAAGCAAGAGGAATACATCGCGTCGCTGGAGCAAGCGTTTGATGCAGCACTCGATGACCTATTTCAGATCCGTTCCATTTTCAGGAGTGCCGTCGCTGCATTGTCTCCGCCTCGGTATGCAGGTGAATTATGCAGCACAGCCGAAAAGGCCCAAGATTCAAGGTCCGAGCCGCTCGAGAACCAAGGGGCACAGCGAGATGGTCAACTTCGGCTTCGAGCCGTTGTCTTGAAGTGCTTGGATTACTTGGAATTAGTTGATTCCAAAGTTCAACCAGCCAGGCGCCACTTCTGGCCCTCAGCTCCTCGCTCAGTTCGACCTCGATTAGCAAGAAAGGGGACCATAGGGTTGGATGTTGCTGGCAGTGGCAGTTGCTTGAGATGACTGACTGGTGCGACTCGTAGGGAATAAGGGAATGAGCCTCCAAAAGAGATTCTATTGGATCCAGCCACCCTCATTCCCTGCGAGTCGCACCAGTCAGATGAAGTGTGGCTTGTCCCCTGTCGATGCTGCTGCATCTGGGGGCGCAACCAGGCAGCCGAGCATGGCAGCCGAATAGACCATTGCCGAATCTGCCGTCCCTGCCCACATGGCTTTGTCAAATACAAGTGCATGAAATGCAAGCCTTGTCCACATGGCAAGTCAAAGTGGAATTGTGCCACGTGCACCGGCGAGCATGGGAGAGCTCAGCGCCAATGTCCTTTGTGCCGTCCTTGCATTCATGGTCGCCTCAAATACACCTGCAAGGCTTGCAAGAAAAGCCGAACGGCCCCATCACAATGATGCTGAAAGAATAGACTCCACATGGGTTGAAAGAATGGACCAGGTCAACGTCAATCCCAAGCAGTTCACATTTGTTGCCTCGTCCGAAGTAGGAGCAGCTGGAAGCAGTTGGCTGGGGCTGAAACCAAGAGATGGCGAACATACCCTGACTCGCTATATGGATGTTGATATCCCCTAGGGCTCCAACCACCTCCTGAGAAGATGGTTGGGGTGGGTTTGGGGGTCTAACCACCTTCTAAAAAGATGGTTGGAGCCCTGGGTCTGCAGATGCCTGGGGAACTCCCAAGAAGGCTCCGAGTAACCGGGCTCCCTCTTGACCTGAGCAGCTATCGAAATCGATTCGAAGCGATAGAAGGTGCTCATCGGTTGCCCAAGCTGCTCCGCTGAGAATTCAGCACCCAAAATTCACCGCCCGTTCCGCCACGGAAAAAGACAAACACAACAAAACACTCCATGGAGCAAAACACTGGGCACATGAGGCAAAAACACTCATTCATGGTACTCCACAGTGCTCAAGAGACCGATACAAAACACGTCCATGGACCAACAAATCCCTCACGGCCGTCCTGGTGCTGCGACCTTGGTCGCTGCGACCGATCGCTTCTGCTGCGGCGCCAAAAACGGTGGATCAAGCCGATGTGGTCAACAAGACGGATCGCTAGCTTTCCGTCTTGGCCCCCATGGGATTCGCTCGGGGTCTTGCGATGGGTTAATCCCCATGAATCTGGACACGTCACCACCCCCCAGCTTCTTCAGTACGTGACCGAACTTGAAGGTTCCTTTTCGTGACCCGTATAGGAGGCTTAAGTGACCGAACCAACCAGGTTATCAAGTTCGGTCACTTATTGAAGAACCAGGCCCATGTCTTTTGTTTTACAATCCAAATGGCGGGTATTATTCAAGAGTTTATACTTTATGGTGGGGAAGATATGAATCTTATTTAATTACTTTATGGTGGGGAAGATGTTTGTAGATGTGTTTTTCCTGGCTTCCCAGCTTCCAGCAAGTCGTCCAAGGTGTATTTCCTGCACTTGCTTTGCTTCACTATGTCAGGCTTCCCCTTGGGTGGGGTGGAGGTCCTACATGATTGCTTCAGATCGGGTTGTGCCTTCATTCAACATCAACTATATAGGTGATGGTTTGAGATATGTTGATGTTCAACCTGTTCTTGGAATCACTGACTCATATTTGTGAAGTGAGTTGACACCACCAACCAGTCATGTTGCGGAACGTTTGTAAACATATATAAGGCACAGTCATGAGCAAACATGGCTTGATCTGTGGCCCGGCCGATCATTTGATCAATACACGATGCACGACGGATCAAAGCTCGGGAGGGCCAGAGGCATCGGGAACGACATGCCAGGTGAGTGGGTGTGACAGGGGCACCCCTATCCTCCAATTTCGGCAGCCCTCTGGAACTACTGGCTGTTGTACTGTATAAAAAGTTCTACGTTTTGGATGGAATTCCAACAGGTGATCTGAACATCATGCCGACAGCCAGATGTTCAAGTCCAACTGAGAGTGCGCAGGCAGCGTGCTGCTGCTATCCACGCTGCGTGCCGCGTGGTATGGCGTGGTCTAACTCATCATCACCCATGCCTCTAACCATCCCAAACCTCCCAGCCTTTTTGTTTGGCCTTGCTGCGAGAATGCCTTCGATCGATCCAATCCACCACGCTCCGATCCAACACCCTTGACGCTCCGCGGCCGACCTGGAAGGGTCAGACTTTGGGAAGCCCATCCCTTAGGGGTTCCCCCAACATCCACTCCAACTCCAACTCCAATATGTATATACCAGGACCTTCCTGTCGAGGTGACTATAAATAGCCTCGAGTAGAGTCTTAGAGTCTTAAGGAGTGTCCAAAAACCACCTCTTGGAAGGTCCTGGTAACCTGTGTTTCAATGGTCTTGGCCAAAGAACATCACAGAACCATTAGAGCTTGCGGATTTGAGACCACAAAACCAGGTCAAACCATGTTGTAGTGCTCTTGGAAGCCTAGCAAATCCAATGACAATCTGTTTGACCTCCGATCGTTTTTGCACCGTAGGGCCTCTGCTGCCCGTGCTGCGGAAGCATTTCCACTTGGCAGCCGCGAAGACGGGGCTTCTGACCTCCGCCTTTCCTTTCGGGATGCTCTTCGTGCCTTGGGTGATGGAAATTGGAAAGCCTTCCAAGAGAGGTAGCCGGTAGCCAGTGACTGTAAATAGGACCCGTCACCTGGGGTACCCAACCGGGATAGTCTAGTTTGGGTCATTCAACCTTTGTTCGTTGGCATTTGTTCATTGACTTTTGACTTGTGACTGTGCGAGGTTTCAACCGCTAGCCGCTAGCCTCACTTGTGTATTGGTGTTCTTATTTCATGTTGTTGTTTTTTCTTATCTTAGGAATTTGGTGTGTTCTTACGTGTGATGGTGTGCGTTCTTGTGAAGGGTTACATATATACTTCAAGAGTTTGCATGACCTCCGGTTCTTTTCCAGACAGGACACCCCGAGAATCGTCCGAAGCTCGGTCGACGCCCGGAGCGCCCCACGCCCGGAGCCAACCGGGCTCCACCCCGCTCGGAGCGAGGCCTTAATGCTGTTTCCCGGCCTCAGCGACCGCTATGGCCGAGTCTCGGCGATGAGAAGATCGAGTGAAAGGGGGGGAAAGTGAAGGGAAAAGGGATGGAAAAGGGACCTGGGGGGTCTAGGAAATCCATATTTTTATAAGATCCCTATATGGGTGGTATCGGAAATCCATATACGTCCTACAGGATCCAGGACCATCCGGCCGTCTCGGATGTCCTGCGTTGGGTGCCCAGGTAACCATTCGACCTGGTTTCGTATGAACTCACCTGCACCATCCGAAGTACGGAGGTACCTGGACCGGGATAGGGACTGGGATATGGTGTCCCCAAGTTCACCGTTTTCCGCGGAACATGTCTTTGGGGCCCGAATTGGCTAAGCCATCTCAAGGTCATGGGTTTGGGATCGTACACCCGTCCCCGGTGGTTTTCGTGGTGGACATGGACGATGGATGGCATGGCCTCAAACAGGTGGTTTTCGTCCACTTTCCAGGTCTTCAGCACGGAAGCCAGAAGCCATGCGAGCTGGGTGTAAACAGGTGGTTTACCACTTCAAATTCTATTGGTGCATTTCGTAGTGCAGAGCGACTGACCACCACCAAGCGTGACCAGCGACTGACGCGAGATATGCTTGCCGAGCGACTGACGCGCAGCCGACGACTGAAACACATCGTCCGAGGATGCGTGATTCATCCGGTCATGTGATCGAAGAATTGGTCAATCAGTCATCAGTGATCAAGCTCCTAGCCAGGAAAAGTGGATAACCTTTAACCAACCAGAAGACCCCAGAACAAATAAGTAGTGTTTGAGGTCTATAGGAAGTCTTTAACCTTTTTGGGATTGGTTTCATTGGTTTCCCCACAATATATTATGTGACCTCAAGCCGTATCAAATGGTCACTTTGAAGAACCTCACTGCAAGTTCCATGATAGATTGATCTGCCCTACAGAGCTCACGCTGAGGGAAGCCGATCTTGATGATTTGCTTTTCGGGATTGACCTGCGGCTTCTTGCACCTCGACGGAAAGCAGCCGTTACACTCCCTCAAATAGTGGCGTAGGGCCCTGGAAGACCATTTACTCTATATATACAGGCGCAGAGGTAGCTTTTCTATGTTTTTCTCCACGTCCATGTTAGGTTTCCGAGAGAATGAGGTGTCGTTTCTACTTGTTCGATTTGCAGCTTCGCTTGGCAGGCTCTTTCACTTTAAGGTGCTTTGCCATTTCGTTGACACAATGCATCAAAGACTGTTTAACACCACTTGCTCTTGCATTTGCACCTCTAAATTGTTCTAGCAGAGGCGCTGCGCGGCGTTTCGCATGCGTTTTTTTCTTTTGGCAATTTGGTTTCGGACGGTTTTGGATGGTTTTGGCACCTGACCGGTGCGACGAGTCCTCAGAGCTCGAAGAACGGCACCAGTCAGTCTCGCTCAGCGGGGCCGTCCGGGTAAGCAGGGCATCTGTACCGCATCCTACGGCCCGAGGCTTCAAGCGAAAGCACTGCTCAGCAACTGGTCCTTTGCATCTCGGAAATCGGTCCGAAAAAGGTGGTGGAACCTGAAACATGGGTGCAACCTGTGAGTTTAAGGTATGATATGCATGAAGGAATTTTACAGACATGAGTTGTTATTTTCGAGGCATTGTGTTCAGCTTATTTCAGTTCTCATGTGGTTTCCTCAACTATATCTCTATACTTCAGGCAGGCAAAAGTTTATTTGCGTTAACCATGTTCAAACAACGCTGTAGGGTCAGCTGCGGATGGACATGCCAAGTCCAATTTTCGTGGCAGGTGTGGAACGTTCAACTATCACACCGTTTTAAACTATCCCTAGGGCTCCTGGCCCACCTCCTGAGAAGATGGGACAGGGGTGGGTGCCAGGGGGGTCTAACCACCGAACCTGAGGAGATGGGACAGGAGCCCTAGGGTATATTAATAAAAGGCTTCCCGGAGTGAAAAATGACCGCCCACACGGCCCAACGTCTCCCAATGTAGGATTCTAGGGGGTAAGGGTTGACATGAGTTTGTGCTTCTGGAAGCGCAACTTTGTTTGGCCAGTGTATATCTATCTATATATATTATATAATAGGCGCCCTTTTTGAAGACATATTCTTAACATGAGGGGTAGGTCCTTTTTTTAATATAGTACCCTTTCCTCTTGAATGGTGGGTGTTGTGTCTTCAATGGCCTCCTTCTGAAACATGCATTCTGTAGGCAAACTCCCTGCGCTTGAGTTCCGCGGGCCAAATCCCATGGAACCCAGCCGCTAAGCCCAGCACTTCCGAGGAAACCTTTCTGAAGCTGCGCGCCTTCTCAGGCGCCTTCGCTGGATGCGCTGCGGTTTCCTGGGCCGCAAGCAGACAAGATCAGACAAGCTGATGCAGCCAGAGTTGACGGACTGAGGACTCCCCCGGACTGATGCAGTTGGAGGGAAGAGTGGACCCTGGGATTCCAACTGCCATGGTTTCATATTGTTACAATGGTCTAATTACCAAACAATCATGTCATGTTGTTGTTGTTGTTCTTCTTCTTCTTCTTCTTGTTCTTCCAAGGTTTTTGGGACTTTAATGGTTTTGGAAGCCCTCGGGGGTTTACAGGACAGAACATAGGCTTGGAGGGTGAAAGTCACTGCTGTCCTTTTAGGCCATCCTGTGACTCACCCCTCGCCAATCGCCGGTTGAGTCTTGCCACCTGGACTCAACCAACGCCTCAGCTTCAGACAAGCAACACAACGTCCATGCATGACACTTTGCACCTGCATTGGATCGTTTCAGGAGGTCAAACTTTGGTCAATGCGAGTAGGTCTCCCATTCCTGATAATTAAGAACTATCCGCACATTTTGTCCTGACACTTGCGACTGCGATGAGCATCTTGTGGTGTAGCCTTTGGTTGAGGTTGTTGACTGATAGAGTTCTTTGCTTTGGGAGCTCAATGTTTTAAACAAGTTGCCGCCTCAAAAGTAGGTTCCACAGATGTTCCACTGATATTTCTTGAAAGATCTGGAAAGCGCTAGACAGAAGTGTTGCATAAAGTTTGGCTGACACACCTGGTCAAATGACTCCTTTCTTCCAAATCGCCAAAAACCTGTTGGAGCCATCCCAATCTGTTTGAGCCCTCACTCGTCCTCACTCCTGGCCGATGGATCGAGGTGCTCAAGGCCTTCCTGGCCGATGTCTACACCGGCCGTGCGTTGCTACCAGAGGCGATGGCGTTCCGTGCCTCGGAGACTACCAGGAGAGGTTGAGAGACCAGAACTAGGACCCTGTACTGGTACAAATGGGATGGGCTAGGATGGGCTGTTCAACCTCTCTAGGTAGGGCAGCCTGGGCAGCCTCGTGTGTGGCAGGCTCAACGCAGGGTTTGTGCCTCCCCTGGATGTGCCGACTGCATGACGCTCCATGAGCAGAGCCGAGGAAAGCGAGGGGAAAGCGACCCTGCCGGGGCTTTGGGATCCACATCCCGTATGATTGGATGGTCATGTGACATATGTCATGTCTCAAGGTGGGGAGGAGCTCAGAGCTTCGGACTTTGTTACAACAAACCCAGACGCTCCATGTATGGAAGACGCAAATAGCTACCCCACAGTAGTTTCATACATGGATAGTCTGATATATAGTAGATGTATGTAACTATTCCATTCCCATGGATGGTCTAGGAAAGAAGGATTGACTACTGTTTTCAATGCCAGCAGGAGAAACATTTAGGGGGTCCACTAAGACTGTGCTAACACCAGTTTGATGAGCCTTGATGAGCCCGCATGTCGGGTATGAATGCCAAGGCTGATGCCAGTCCATTGTTTTCTTTGCCCTCTTTGGGTTGAGAGCTGATGTTGATGTTGATGTTGATGTCTATGGAAGTGGGAGACCCGCTATAAATCTGCAGTTCTATGTTTGTCATTTGACCTGAGTGGCAGTGCATGAGCCCAGGGGAAGCTGCTGGCACAGCGCTTCTTGGCTCAACGCTTAGAGTTTTGATCGAATGAGCTGGGAATTTTGCAAGCCACTGGAAGGCCGCTTCACCTACCCGAATCTACGAACACATCACATGGAAGTGGAAAAAGGTGCCTGGAAAGGCCATTGTCCTTGACAAACAGAGGTTTTTTTTCATGGTTTTTCCACTTCCGCAATGTTTCCAGTAGTCCTGTTGTCCTGCTATGTCCTGCGATGTTGCCTATAGCAATGCTGGGGAAGGGTATGCGAGGGAAAACTCTTTTCAGAGATGGATGCGCATTCGAACAGGGAGTGACCTGCAGTTCTTTTTCTGGGGGGGAGCTGAACAACACCTTCCCCAAAAGCGATCAAAGTGACGTAGGGCAATCTCGAGAGGTGGGTTGTTGACGTTTTGCCTCTGAGTTGCGGGATTTGGATCGATTTGGTGGCAAGGACTCCAGGAATGAGATGGTGGCAAGCTGCAAGGACCCCAGCCGCTATATACCTGGAATTAGCATGGCCACGTGGAACATGGCCTGCCAAATGTCCTGCACAAACATATGTTCTACTTTCATGACCCTATAAGGCTCTAGTCGTACCTTGGAAGGTGTTTGGGGGCGGGTTCAGAGGGTTGAGCCCTAGGGATGATGATTCCAGGGAGTGTCAGTCGCTGCATGTTGCCTTTGTTTTCGTGTTCTCCGTGGTCTTCTCATCGACGCCTGGCAGGGACCTGATATCTGTCGTGCACATTCGAAAAACAGGAAAGACCCCGCGGTCGAATGGGTACAACCCAAAAACAGAACAGCAAGTCACCCTACCGGGTTCCCGGTACCACCTGCCTGTGCCAAGGGCCTACATCGTGGGGCCCTCCTTGGGTGGCCTCCTCATTTGTTTCGCTGATGCGAAGGCGATCCCTTTGGCCGGCGCAGTGCTGCGCCTCGGACGTCACCGGCGTAAGGAGTGCTCTGTGCGGAGTGAAGGAGCGAAGGAGAGCTTAGATGAACTAAGTCTCTCCTAGTACTGTATCTAGTTCAGCAACTCTGAAAGCCTATAGGTAAGCAGCAGAATGTGGACTCAGTGGACTCTGAAATGATGTTTAATTCATGGAGTCCCCTCATTTATATGAATTTTAAAGGAGAAAACCGGGGTGCGTCCTTATAAAGTTATCTCAACAGTCTGGTATATAAGAGCTTTTCCATGTTTTTTTCAATTGCGCGATCCCTTATAATGAAAGCAGTCTATACCTTTGCGAGTCTACCAATGAAACGTTTGCACCATCTCCGCCCCAGGTCCATCTTGGCCATCCTGCTCCTGCTGGCCGTGCCCGAGCGACGGGGCCAGGCGCGCGATCGCGCGATCCCGCCGCGGTGCCTGAGGCACTGCAGGAGTGGGCGATGTAGTGGGGGAACTTCAATGCAGTCTTATGCCTGGATCAGCCCGGATCTTCCAACTCAAAAAGTCTGCCTTGGGGCTGCTTTTTACGGATGAGAAGGCGGACATTTTGCACAGGTGGAGGATCTAGGTGTGACTTCACTGGGGCTATTTGGACCAGTGGATCTATAATATTGAGATATAATGAGATATCCATCCGAAGCATGATTTGGTTGAACAGTCTGCCAGCTCCTTTCCAATGTGCGCCTGTTTGATGTCCAGTTTTGTTGAAGAGGATGCAAAGATCAAGAAGATGGGCATGGGCATGGCAGACAAACCATGGCAGATCACAGTGACACCGGTCATTTACCCTCCCTCCAACAAACATGGAAGTGGACAACCCCCGTTCCATGATTGTTTCAGGGAGTGTAGTGCACCCAATTGATCCACTTTGTTGTGCATGTCAGCTGCCTTGATCGCCGGCGCTGCGCATGTGCAGTTGTTTCATGTTGTTTCTAGTGGATTGGGGGAAGATGTTATTGGTCAGGCCGATCAGAGGTTCAGTTTTGCTCACTTCTGAGCAGCTTCAGCAAAGACATACACAAACTGACTAACCTGAGAATCGACCGGTGGAAGACGATTTTCGTCTACAACCCGACGTGGTTTTCAGGTTCCATGTGGGTCTCTTCCACACCGGGTACCCGCAGAATCTGTCCCGAGAAGCGGCTGGACATGCCTTACCCCCGCAAGAAGTGACCGGCACAAACATGGGTTTTGGTGGTTCCTTTTTCGGTTTGGAGATGGAAGATGAGGAGAGCCACCATGTTGTTACTGTAAGGGTTTTGGGAGGCGGAAGATGAGGAGAGCCACCATGTTTGAGGGGTTTGGGGATGGAGCATGGGAAGAAAACCATGCAAGATCCAGCAGAACCTGTCGACCCACCCCTCGACCCTACTGGACGTGACGGGACGTGAACTCATAGTGTGCCCCGCTCGAACTCGAACTCGAACTGAAACAGTTATACTTATAAGATGAACTTGAAGATGCAGGCACAGATGTTATAGAAAGAGCTCACCCCCTTAACCATGGTTTTGAGGTCCCCCCCTGCTAAGGGGTAGGGATGTTATATAGAAAGAGCTCAAAAAACAATCGGTTTGTTTGTCGAAGTAGATGGCACAGTGACCCTCTTGCGCCAGTATGCAGTATGCAGTAGGTGGGCATGCATCTTGACGCACGTCAGGTGTACTAGTGCCACAAAACTGAACTCTGGGATTTTTGGGCGCTTGTATGTGTATGTGCGTGTGTGAGCGCTGCGACCCTAGGGCTCAAGTACCTCCTCGGAAGGTATTTGCACCCTCCTGGACCCCAGTCCCACCTTCTCTCGAGTTGTGAACATGTAAGTGATGCCATAATGTTGGAATTCCGTCACTACATCTTCAAAGTTCACCTGCTGCATCCTGCTGCTCACTGAAGAATGCTCCCAACGAAAGAGAAGTCTTGGCCCGTGCTGCATCCGGCTGCTCTGCGCCCTCAGGCCCAGCGCCCACGCCCTTCACCCTCAGCAGACGAAGCGACGGCGCGGCGCGAGAAGCGGCGGCGCGGCGCGGGGCGACTGCTGCTGCTCGGTCGTCATCCCAGCGATCCCGGAGGACTTCCCCATTCCGACCCCCGGAAAGGACGGTAACATGGGAACCGTTGACCTGGGCCAGGCCAAACGAACCCGGTTCCCCCCCTATGAAAAGACACAGCCCCGAAAGCCGTGCGTGGAGGTGGTGGAGTTCGCCCGAAGGTCTGGACTGGGGACTGCCCTTCTCACATTCTTGTTTTGGGGGTAACATCCAACCCGACGTTATGCAAGTTTCTGTATACAATGTCTGTCAAAATCTTCAAAATTCATTGGCTGGGCCTTCAAAAGTGCCTTGTTTTAGAGCAGGTTCTTGTTGTGGACCATGGTTTTTCAGCTTTTTGTTATTAGGGCCTGACTGGATGCGAGCAGCTGTGGGGAACGACGGCAAAAAAAAGAAGAAAGCTGTGTCGAAAAAGCTAGGTGTTCTGCTGACTGGTGCGACTCGTAGGGAATAAGGGAAGAATGAGCCCCCAATAGAGATTCTATTGGATCCAGCCACCCTCATTCCCTGCGAGTCGCACCTGTCAGTTTGGGTGAATCATGCAAAGCATTGCGAAGCACTCCACAGTGGTAGCCGGAGGTCGCTGGAGCCGCTCGACGAAAGAGATTGAAAGAGCCCCGACCTCACCCTCCCGATCACCTCCTTCCACATCGGCGGCTGTGTTGGCTACCACGATGCTTCACGCGACGGACGCTCAGGTCGGTGGTGATTTTGGTTCATGGGCTCTACGCCTTGGGCCAATCGGTCTTCGAGGCCTTCTTCGGAGCCCCTTGGAACACACGATCTAGCTGCGAGGAGAGCGGTACGCGAGCGAGCGTCTTAGCGTTAGCGAGCGCGTGTTGGGTGTGGTGATGTGCCTGGTTGGGCGTAGGTTGGGAGGGATTTGGGTGTGATTTGGCCCGTTTTTGGGGGGTGAATCCCCGGCTTCTTGGACAGCAAATCCAAGTATGTGGGAGAGTTGGTGCGGTATGTGGGAGAGTTGATGCATCAGAGAAAGCCTGTTTCAAGATATCGTTGTGTTTTGTGTAAATATGACGCGTCTATAACTTTCCGCTATTGTTTTTTTGCCAATTTAGTTTTCTGCAGATTCCTTGATAAATTTTCCTTAGCCCGGCACACTCAGAAGGACTTTAAGCTCTTCAAGTTGCTGAGGTTTGGTGTGCAGAGAGCTTTGGCTTCTCTCCCGCCCGGGTGGGGCAAGTGCTCACTTCTTTGGCTTTGCTAGTACCTCGGTGGCGAGGGTCTGGCAGGACGCCACAAAAGTAGGGACCCGGCGAATTGCCCAAGGCTGCCCAGGCCGTGATCCTTTCTTTCAGGATGTTGTTCTATTTAGGATTATAGGCTGTTGTGAACCAGAAGCCATCCTTGCCATCCAGCTTCCACTTGCTCCTGGCAATGAGGGTGCAGGTGTATCACGTTTGAAGGCTGCTTCGAGAGAGGAATCAGGTCCCTAGCCTTACTAAGAGAACCTGGTTTGGTAGTCCAAAATCCGTAGAATTCCTTTGATATCCTTTAAAGTAACAAAAATCACCAGCATTCAAAGGCAATATTCATTTGGCAAAAACCACATTAAATTCGTGGTTAAAATTTGACCCACCGACACGACCAGTTCGACCGGAAGACCGCCACACGCCACAGGTCTTCCTGACACACACCTTCCTGTATAGTCGCTTGGTGCCCTTTGGCCGCACAGTACCAACGGCGAGGCGACCCGCGAGTGGCGCCAGGGGCAGAGGGCAGCGGGTCGGGACAGATGTTGGGGAGCAGGGCGAGGCGACCTTATGGATCCACATGGATCCACACCCTCTGAGAGACGGTGAGGAAGGAGACTATTGATGTAAGTGCCAGGGTCGGGCCCAGTCATACCTTCTGAGAAGGTGGCAGTGGATCCATATGATAGTTATAGTTATAAAGTAACTGCATACTTTCTTCAACGCTTGCTACATGACGTGTGAGGCACTCTGAGTTCGTCCACCGACTCCTCAGAACACCTTTCCCCACCTCACGTCGCGTGTTGAGCTCCCCCACCTCGTCGCACCGCAACCGAGCGGAGACCGACCACGCGGAGCCTGGAGACCGCTGCAGGTCCCGCTTGGGGATCATGAACGTGGGCGTGCTCGGTGTCTCGGCATCTCACGCGCGAGGCTTCTGCTGGTTACAGGCCCAGTGTCCAGACGGGGGTGCCGTGCGGGGTGCTCGGGTCAGGGCCAAAGAGGAGATGTTTGGGTGATTTGTTGCAGGAAGGTCAAAGCGGGTCGAAGCAGTGGTCGAAACTTTTGTGGAAGATTGGTTCCGGATGCTCCCAGATATTGGACGCATGTCCAGATGGAATGGCTGAACACGCGGGTAAGAGGATCAAGAGGGTTGTCCAATTTCTCCACCTCGAATACCCCTTACTTGGGTCCCTATGAAATGATCCTCCAGGAGTCTTATGAAATGATCTCCGGCAGTTCATTACATAAAAACAGAACTACGTAAAAAAGACAAAACAAAATAATGACAGTACTAACAATGTCTGAGACGAATTCAGCTATCATTATATAGAGATGAGGGGGTGGATGATGAAACATGTTGAGACTAAATTTAAGATCTTAATGAAACCTGGAGTAGATCATTTTAGAGAGATGTGTTTTGTGTGTCTTTTTTGTTGATTGAAGGATCTGTTGCTGGAGTTGTCATTTCATAAGAGTCATGGATCCAGCTTTTGAATCATTTTATAAACCTCTCATGTTGATCGCCGCGCCTTCCTGTCAACCTCAAAAAGATATATAAATAATGTTAATGTTGCCAGTAAAGATTTGCTAAAGCAATTGAAATACATATGAAGACATCAAACAAATCATAACAAAACAAGATATGATTTCATTCAAAATATCGCAGCTATATGAACATTGTTCGAATCTGCAAGTGGATTTTTTTGTATGATTTTTAGACTATATTATTGAAAGCGGATATTGTTCTTCTAAAAACAAAACATAGTTCATCAAGTTTGAAGTGGTAGCCCAAAGATACCTGAACCATTTGGGCCCCCAGGGTTGCTGACC